AGGTTAAAACTTTCCCTTTTTTATGGAGAGTAAAACAAAAATGCCTGCCAACACCACTTCTGTTAAACATTTAATCAGAAACCCAAATAATGGAGTAAAACAAGGAAAGTAAATATTAATAAAAAACCATAATAAGCAATTCTTACTGGAGTGGAAACAGGCAAACTATCATTATTTACATATATTATGATTTTCTATGTAGAAAAATCAAAATTATTATTTTAATGAAGTTTATGTATATAAAATCAATGTACAAAAATTAATTGCATTCCTATAAAACAGTAGCAAACCATTAGAAAATGCGATTTTTAAAATGTACTACTGTGGCCAGGAATACATCTAACAAAATGTGAACACATTACGAGTGAAATTATGAAACTTTAGGAAGACACTAAATAAGACCTAATTAAATGGAGAGAGTCACTGTCTCTAGACTTTTAGTTCATGTCCCTCCTCCACCTTCTGTTGGGAGGGCAAAATAAAAATAGAGTATTATATCTGTAGGCATGGTTGTTTCTCAATTTGTCTTTTAGGTGTCTAAAATAAAAAGCTTTCAATAATCTACATATCATCACTAAGAAATATGTAGTCTTCAAGAAATTCTCACAGGGACTCTAACTCATAAGCACATCAATTACTTTTTTTATTTCTGAAAGGCGTGTTCAACAAATGAATTATAAATGATATCTCATAATCCTTACCTTGAGCTTTTTTAAAAAATGAACTTTAGCTGATTGATATATACTGCAACCTTGTGATGAAAACAAACTACCATCTGCTTTTCTAAAATTTAAATATCTTTTGTTAGTTCTTCAAAGATGATGGTTCTTCTATTCAAACACTTAAGTTACCAGCTTCCATATAATAAGTAATATTGTGGTGAATTGTTTTCTTAATTCAAGTCTGTTGGTAGGAAGACTTGCAGTTAACTTTTTTCTGGTCCATTCTTTTTTCTTTTCTCTTATAATTTCATAAAGTGAAATAAAAACTCAAGAATGATTTTGAAGCCCTCTTTCCACTTTTGCTAAACTAGTTATAAATAGGTATGATAATATTTTCACCCCTAATTCAGACCCAAAATAACTAAAAAAGAAAGAGAAATTGCATCCGGGTATGGTTGAAGTGAGCCTCTTCCTCACTCTTACCAGCAATTGCTCAAAAATCTGTGCATCTTCACTCACTGCATTTGCCATCTAAACCATGATGTTGATGGATCGTATCAACATAGACCCACAAACTCTTCCTTCAGCCTACCCCAAATAAACCAAACAGACTTGCAGGACTCTTCACTCAAAACTTTGGCTTGACTTGAATGCAAAGAGCTTCAGAAGGAGATAAAATCCAAAGTAATGATCATGTAATAAAGTCCTGGCTTCCTTTAATAGTCTGTGATGATAAGAAAATCTTATGGCCTTATAAACCCACTCTGCTTTTTTGTGTTAATATGTTATTAACTAATAGTCCCTCTTGAGTAGAAATTGTCCTTCTGTAATTGTTTTGGTAGTACTCAGCATCACATAAGTAAAATCAATGTTGTCCCACTGAAAAAGCACAAGATTTGGACTCAGAGGCATGAATTGAAGTTTCAATTCCACCATTTATTAAGAGTGAAGGATTGAGATAGTTAGATAACTGCTTTGAGCTCTCATTTGTGATTTTAAATCATATGCTAATACTTGTCCTACCCAGTATTCTGCACTCTTTCTCCCCACCACAAAAAGCAAAAGTCATCGTTAGGGGATCATGTTACTGTATATTAAAACTTCAGCATATAGAACAATTTTACAACCTTGTGTTTGAGTGTGCAAAAATGAAATTGTCTTTTCTTTTTCCTGTATCTTGGTATAATTTAGCTCTCAAGCCTCAATTGTTCTTGGCAGCAGAATATTTAATCTATCCAAATCAAAGTCAATTTCATCATTTCAGCGTTTGAACTGTGATTTCAGAGTTGAATTTAGTCAATTTAGTTTATTTGTTTTTTAGGTCCCCTCTCTTGTTCCTTTCTTCTTGAAGTGTTCAAGGTCTCACTTGGTAAGATGCATCTGTTATTTGTGATTAGCAATCGTCCATAGTAGTGGCTTCCGCCGAGGTGTATGATTCTACTGAGATTCTCTGAAATGTGTAATTCCCATCAGTTTTATCATTCACTTATGATTCCAAGATCTACCTGTATTCCCTGGCTCATGCAACTCATGTCATCCCTGAGACCAGTATCTCTTTATCACCACCCACAAGTCCTATTGATCCACCACTTCAAGGGCTTGGAGAACTTCGGATGCTTTCTGCACCTCCTTGAGGTCCCAAGTATCTTAAGAGGAAAGTGTATCTTGAGCTTACCTATTTCTAGATACTCTTTGCCACTAGCCTACTCTACTGCAGGGATCCATGTTAAGTGCAAAGGAGAGAGAGCTTGAAGCTTGCATCCTAAACCCAGAAGAGTCAGTATATTAATTAGTTCATGAAAAATACTGGATTTAACCTATCGGCACAGAACAGAGAAAATCAGCCTCGCTCCAATGGAAACAAAACCATTGTCTGTTGAGAGCAGTGCTTGCAAGCATAGGATTTGGAGGCTGACTGCCAGGATCAAATCCCTGCTCCACAATTCACCTCCTGTGTGTCCAGGGATGCATTATTTGACCCCTACATGCTGCAATTTCCTCATCCTAAAATGGGTACTAATAACATAAGAATATCTTTATAGTGTTGTGAAGATTAAAGGAATTAGTACCCATAGTATGTGGAGCAGTGACTGGCCATAGCAAAACTCAGTATTAGATAGCATTCTTAGAACTGTTTTATCATTATTATTCCTTAGCACATAGCACAGAAGCAATTGCCCACATACAATCACTAGGCTTTGTAAAACTCCTTCTTCAGAAGACTCTTAGCCAAAATCTCATTAAAATCCTAAATAAGCAAATTTTGTTTAGGTTAGAAAGGTTACTTCTAGTTCACAGCCACTAAGTAGAGATTTCCAAAGGATCATTTAATTTTTATTTGTTACTCCTTGGTTGAGAGAGAACACCGAAGGTAAAAGAGTGAACATAGTGTGTATAGACAAATGAGTCTTCATTTACAGAATTCAGTACACAAAGAAAACAAAGGAAAATTTAGACTCTGTATACAATACTAAAAACAAGTTCAGTATCTCACTGGAATAATGTGGTATGTTGGATAGAATGAGCTTCTCACTCCATCAAATGATCCTCATCATTAGTTTTCACTTCAGGGATTTTTAGATAGTTCAAAATCCCCCATGTTGTCGGGGCTTCAGGGTTGTTGATGAATCCAGGCAGCTATATTTCCTCAGACCTGCTGTGGTTATTTCCATAACCTACTCTGTGACCGCCCCTCAGTGGCAAGTCTGTGGTGGATGCACTGAGTCAGACTCGATGCCTTTGTGGTTATTGTTCTGTCAGAAGTACAGATTGAAGATTACCAAAATATCAGAAATGTCACGTAGCCTTGCCTTTATTCCAAGAAAATTGATGTGCTTTTACATCTAGGTATAACAGCCAGCATTTCCACTATTTTTCTTATTTATTATAATTGCTTCATTTGGCCCTTTTTTATTTAGCTTCCCTTTCTATCTTGACACATTGTCTTTAAAAAAACACACAAATATGTTTGGACTCTTCAGAAAAGAGTCAGATTCTGGGTTTCTCAGAATCTCTAAAAATAGTGTCTTTTTAGAGTACTCCCATATAAAGAAATTACAAATAGATACCTTGCTACATCTCTACATTTTATGACCTAGGAATAAATTTTCAAATAAACCTTTAAAAATGAAATGAAAGCCTTATATTTTCTGCAATGATTTTCAAACTCGAAGTCATCCTGAAAAACAGTAAGGAGAATTTTCGTGGAAGCAGCTTAGAACAAAAGAGATGTTCTGAAGACAGCACTTTTGATCAATCCAAACATGAAATCTGCTTTGAGTTTGAAGAAAGACTCCAGTCCTGCAAACAATTTTGTATGTGTTAGATACTGATCTTTCAGACTAGCTTCCGGGGTCCTTCCTACCTCACACTACTTGAAAGAGTTTATGGACTTTCACCACCTTGGACAATCTAAAATAAACTGTGTGCTAGAAGTGAACATTTTTGAGACTATAATAGGAATCCAATGAACTCTAGTCATAATTAATAAATCACTGGAAAAGAATTGGTATCTTGAAAATTTTGAGTCACCTGATCCATGAACACAATATAGCTCTCTAATTATTTAGATATTCTTTAATTTCCCTGAGCTGTGTTTTATATTTTTCAGCATATAGTCTTGCTCATGTTTAAACATATTTTATATTTTCAGTGCCATTGTATTTCAATTTCTGATTGTTGCTAGAATTTAGAAATACATTTTTGTCAATTCAGTTTGTAGCCTGTACCCTTGCTAAACTTACTTATTTTATCTAGTTGCTTTTTTATGAGTTTCATAGGATTTTCTACATAAATAATGATGTTGCCATGAATAATATCAGTGATATTTCTTCCTTTCCTATCTGGACACTTTTACTTCTTTTTCTTGCCTTAAGACATTTATACAGTTATTTTATTCTTAATTGAAATATAATAATTGTGCATATTTATGGGGCACATAATGATGTTTCAGTACATATAATGTATAGTGATTGGATCAGGGCAATTAGCATATCCATCATCTTGTGTATTTATCATTTCTTTGTGTTGGGAATATTCAATACCCTCTAGCTGTTTGAAATTATATAATATATTATTGTGAACTATAGTCATCTTACAGTGCTATAGAACACTAGAACTTTTTCCTTCTATCTAGCTATAATTTTGTATCCTTTAATCAATCTTTCCAGCAGGATTTTTATTTTGAGACAAGGCCTCACTATATTGTCAAGGCTAGAATGCAGTGGTGCAATCACAGAGCACGATAACCTTGAACTCCTGGGCTCAAGTGATCCTCCTGCCTTAGCCTCCCAAGTGGCTGGGACTACAAACTCCACCACTATGCCCAGCTCTGCAGAGGGATTTTTAAAGTGTTTCTGGCCACACACCCTGGCCAGGCATATCTTGAGCACCTCTTGAGTGTCAGTAATGTTTTGCATTATGGAAATGACAAGAGTTTTGTGAGAGGAGCTATAAATATTTATTCCTTATCTATTCTAAGCCCTCACACTACATATCGTAATTATGATTTAAAAAAAAAAGATATGAGAGGAGGATGGGACAGAAGATGTCAAAGGGGTTGTGCTGCTGACAGACGGGCTCCTAGAGGTACAGTACAGCCACTTTCTGGCTACGCCTGAACTTTGGTGAGCTCAAGAGAGTGAATGCAGCACTCTGCACATGCAGCAGTGACATGGAGCCTCATTTTTCTGTCCCTATTTTTATTCTTCACAATCTATCTGTTCTTCATTCCTATTATCGGAATGACTGGTGGAATAAATACCTTTTAAAATACTCAGAATGTCAGTGTGTGAACTGAAAGATGTATCATACCACAATTTCATGTTCTGTAAAAATTTTTATATTGTGCATTTTTATTAGAGTCTGATTATGTGCCTCATAAGAGACAAAGCAGTAATATCTGAGTTATCAAAGTAGCCTTTGCCAAAATTACTTCTAACTCATCCACATGAAAAAAATGTCAACTGGCTAATTAGGAGATTTTCCTCAAATTACTCGTTGACATTCCTAATTCCTCTTTTCATTCAGTTAGCAAATATATAGATATATAACTAATAATGATTTAATAACACTGTCTTTCAATTATTCTTCCAAATTCCCATGAATATGTACAGGAATTCTCAGGAAAGTTGGAAAATCAGAATTCCCCCTCATTCAGAGGTTAGCATTAGTCATGGGCTGATTCAACCCACTGTGCAAAGCACTATTTAAAAGCAGTACTCTATGATGGATTCTAGTTCTTCATGTAAATGCACCACTGTAATACATATTCCAGTCACTCTAAGGAAAAAGCAAATCAAAATTGGCAATGGTCTTCTGGAGGTGAAGCATTTATTCTACATTTTCACTTTACAGACAAATATGAATGCATAAAGATCTTTCATTATGAAAAGCTCATTGATCAGTTGATTCTAAAGAAGCTGTAACCAAGTCGTTTTGAATGTTTGAATGAAGTTGTGAAAGCCTGGAGGTGGGAAGATAAGGTGAAGAGAGGTTTCTTAAAAGGATATAGCAGGAAACATTTTTTATAATAGTATCTAACATTACATTACATTTAGTTTATTTACCAAAATGCTATTGTCTAGTATAAGATTAGGAAAGTCAAAAGTAAGTGCTAAGAGGATGGCTCTAAAGTTAGAAACATCAGTGCTTGAATATTGTCATTTTCTAGTTGCATCACTTTTGCATTATTTAACTCTTAAAGCCCCAGTCTCCCTGTCTGTAAAATGTCGTAATACTGACACCTACCACATTAGGATTACAAGACATAATTCATGTGTTTAGTTTTAGGAATCACTTTAAAATAGTACTTGCTATTTTATTATTGTTTTTAATAAGATGTGTTTCTGCCTACATGAATCACTGCTTTTATGCAATAAAAAAATTAAAGATTCAACTCCTTTTTTGAATCATCTTGATAATTTCTTTTATTTAATTTTTAACGTTGTCAGAAATGGTAGGATTTCCTTCTTTTTATGGCTGAATAATACTCACCCATCAATCGACACGTAGATTGTTTTCATGTCTTGGGTATTGTGAATAATGCTGCAATAAACATGGGAGTGCAGATATTTCTTCAATATACTAATTTTATTTTCTTTGGATGTACACCCAGAAGTGGGATTGCTGGATCAGATGGTAGTTCTATTAATATTTTTAATTATTTGAGGACCCTCCATATAACATACTGTTTTGCATAATGGCAATACTAATTTACATTTCCCCCAACAGTGTACAAGGGTTCCCTTCTCTCTACATCCTTACCAATTTGTTATCATTCATCCTTTTGATAATAGCCATCCTAACTAGTGCAAGGTCATATCTCATTGTGGTTTTGATTTTCTCTGATGATTAGTGATATTAAGCATCTTTTCATATACCCGTTGGTTATTTGCATGTCCTCTTTGGAAAAATAAATATTCAGGATCTTTGCCCATTTTTAACTGGGTTATTTGGTGTTTTGCTATTGAGTGAGTTTTTTATATAATTTGGATATTAATGCCTTATCAGATG